ATGGCTTGCAGCATCACCCTTTGCTGGTGCCAATATACCACCAGAGCTCTCTCTCACCCTTCGACGGTTTTAAAGCGTATTAATTAACCCTTTATTAGAGTCTGAGCGAAAACCACCGGGAAGCTCCCAGCTCCCGGTCTAAAGCGAAAAGGAAAGGCGTTCGTACAAGCTGATTCACCAACAGTGTCTGGGCTGTGCCCGCGGGTGTCATTCAGTATTTATGAAAAGCTTCGGATCTTATTCTCCTTTGTCTTTCTTCAAGCGTTCGTTGAACTCGGGACACAAAAGTGAAAAGACGGACTGACGGTGGTCCAGCCCAGTTGATGAGATTAAGTGTTTATTGGAGTACGGTTATGCATTATTAATGTCACCGTATACGCAATTAAAGTAATGGTTTAATTGGGAAGATGAGGAAGAGTACCAGACAGTAGTCCTCTTGAGACTGCTCTATGATCACTACTACTTCTCCCGGCGTGGATCTCTTCGTCAACAACAAAGTTTCTATTAAATTTCGTATTTACCCCTTACTCAAACCTTCAGAAAATTGTCCGCTGGGAAGCTTCTTGACGACTAGAGCAAACGCTTTCTACTCCAGTCGAAATTTAAGTAGTAGATTCAACGTATTGAACGTTCAAATTGTAAATCTGACGTATTGAACGTAAAAAATGTTAATTATTGTTTTAAAACCCAGTTGATTTTGGTAAAAAGCTATTTCTTTTTCTGGATAAAGAACCACCTTTAGTAGAAAATATAAGAGACAACTTGTTCTAAATAGCTCAATTCCTTTCTTCCTCTTTTCCAACTACATTCCATGGGCTCCAATATCACAAATTAAATCGGGTTGTAAGAGAGCATTTGGTTGTCGTTTGTCTTCTAAGTGTGTTCACATATATTGCGACGTAAGAGTTGTAGCGAGTGTCCTCAATTTGCCACCCAAGGGTCGGCCAGGGACCGTGAACATCCAGTCCTAGCTATACTAGGAGATGTAGAGCCTCGGGTGGTACGATGTACGGCGGAATCGAGATGAGATTGTCCCGATCCTCGTCTCACCCTTCTCTTCTCTTCTCTTCTTTCGGACGAACCAAGGCTACCCTTACATGTAAGGCTCCCCTTGCCTAGTACTTTACTGCGGAGTTGTTATCATCAAGGCTCCTGGAGCCTTTCTCGTGAACCCGAACGAAAATAATTATTACGACTAATTACACGTGACGTATGTAAAGAGGAGAAGGAGAATACCAGAGAATAGGGACGAGGAACAAGGTATCATCGTAGTCTCAGGAGTCGAGGTAGGCATCTACCTAGTTGGGAAAAGGGGTTCTGATTTTGACGAAACCAACAGCCTGCATTTGATAGCGTTATCCTTGGGTTACCTTCCCTGGGCGATGGGGAGGACATTGAAAAGGGTGGCTTCTAAATTCACTCGCCCCTTCTCTTCTGACGGCTTCGCTGTACAGAGTTTAGACACGCAAGCTTCGGGGTAGGGGGTAGACGCTAAGAAGTGGCTGTCGATTGAAGGGTGACATCTTGTCCAAGTTAGAGAATTCAATATCGGAATTTTGATGATGGAAATTAGAACAATTTACAATTGTTTTAGTTGAAATTGGAGAAAATTTTTTGGACGATAAGGTAACAGCCCCAATGACAGGGGTCTAAATATTGACACCTTAAATAATTTTTAAATATATTTAATTATCTGTAATAAGAATAACTATCATATAAATTTTTATTAAATTCTAATCCGTTATCAAAAAGTGGACGTGACGTTTTCATTGGTGTCGCTTTTCGTTACTATGATGACCACTTTGGCAACATTACTTGAGGCATTACTACAGACAAAATTCAACGATATTTGATTGCTTAAAAAAAATCAAATTATGTCTCTTATAGTGTCATTAATTCGGGCTTTTACCTTACATCTAACTTTATAAGATCAGAATTATTTTTGCCAACTCATCGGAATGTAAAGAAAAAAAAAAAACAATTCTAACGAAATAGATTTGTTGGGGTTGGATAAAATTCCTGCGGTGGACACGCAACAAAGTAGTTTTAAAAAATTTACAACTTCGTCCTAAAATAGGGGAAAGCCTGGATGTTTGCATGTAAAGTATCATCATGAAAGTTGGACAGTCCGGTCGGAAGCACCAAGTCTGATCAATGGGGTGAAAATAAAAAAAAGGGTCTTTGTTATTCCTCATCCCAAATGAACAAACCAAACCAAATCCAGATTCTTTGCTTTTTCCAATTGTATATGACCCCAAGCCGTCCATATTTTTTTTTTTTTCCAATGAAATGGAAGATTTCAAATTAAAGAGGAAGTCCGGTGACGGTTAAATTAGGAAGAGTCCCCTGAGAGTCACCAGAGAATGGAAGCCGATGCTTGAAAGAGGTACCGGAGATTCGGGGCTGCATGAACCACTGAGTGACAAAGGGGTGGTTGCATAGCCATTCTCTTATTTGACCGTCCCAAAGCAACTGGACGACCCCGGCGAGTCATTACTCGGACGGCAAACACACTTGGACCCTTGGTCGTCTTCCCATCCTCAAAATCTCTCTCTCTCTCTCTCTCTCTCTCTCTCTCTCTCTCTCTTGCACCTGTTATTCATATCCTCCCTGTCTGTCCTTGTATCGGCACGAGATTCGTATTTAAATGAGGATCCATTAATCTGGCGACCCGAAAGTTCAACCGGACTCTGGTCAGCGTTTCAACCGCTGAATATTCCTTCCGAGTTTTATTACCAGGAATAATTGATGCCAAATCGATCCTCATCTTCTTCCACGGAGGAATATATAAGATTCGTTGCAGTCCAGAATTCAAGCTTGCGTTTGGGTGCCGAGACATCATTAAGAGCTCCTGATGCTGAGCATCACCAAAAGGGATCGAGAGGACGCGTGGAGAGATGACAAAGCCGCTCGTTAGATTCACTGAGGGTCCTTATGGCCGGGCCAAGGGTGAGAACGTGCTTAGACCTCGATCTCCCTGGCCAGCTCTCGTGACACCTCCCCCTTGGTACTGGACGAGACTTGACCACTTGTATCAGACGGAACATTCTGGTCAAGAAATTGAAGATTTACCTTCAAGATTTTGGGAAAATCCTTCGATGTGATCCAATGTGATCATTTGTGGAAAAATTGTGACTTAGAGGAATAAAGGCGAGGTTAGGACGAATTAGAAGCAGCTTGCTGATTTAACTACGACAGCATCCATCTAATTCGCTCTGGAAGCTCGTAAACACACTCGAGCGCGTTGCTAGTAACAATAATAGCAGGAGTAGCACCATAGCTACTACTGGTACTCTTAAAAGGGGTTGCGAGGGTGCTTGATACTCCGAGCTTGCAGCTATGTCGGGCTCACGTGCAAACGCTATCCCGGTGAGCGTTTAAACGCAATAAAGTAACGACCGCGAGCTCAGTCTGTGTGTATGTGCTCTGTAAATTAACGCAACGTGACTTATGCTTGTTAACTAATTACTTAATTACCCAACAAATCTTATCAGTGCGCTGTCGTTAAAATATTATTGCGTTTTAGGTGGATAATTATTAGCGCTATAGTCTTTTCAGTTATTGAGAAGGATTTTGTTTTTTAGCAAGGTAGAGAAAATTACTAGTGATTTGTAAATGATGCAGTTTATTATTGATAAAACATGGATACAAATTAAATTTTTTTTTAACGGTGCCAATTACAATTGAAAAAAATTGTTGGAGTTAAATAAGTATCAGAAGATTTGTTTTTTTTTTTTAGTTTGAAGAGTTGTTACATTGTATCCAGTTGTTTATCCTATAAATAGACAAAAAATATATTTTTTAGTAATTAGAAAAAAAAACTTTTTTGTTTTACATGTATACGGTGTAATTGGCAGTAATAAAAAATGTAAGAAAAAAAATTGTAGGAAAACTTACAAGAATATTTGATAATTTTACGCATCAATGACATCCTATGGAAAATCGTCTTCGTCTTCTTCAGGTTTCCCTGAAAAATAAAAGCAGTATTTTTTGCATGTAATTTTTATAAAAATAGAAAAATTAAAAGTGCACGACTCATAAAGCTCATTAGCTTTTTAATAAAAAATTTATCATACTATTATTTTATAATTACAGCATAAGAAATTAAATTATTTATTTATCTAATTAAAAGATTAAAAAAAATCTTTTAGTTAAATTAAGAAGGTCTCTTTCTAAATTTCTGCATTTTTTATATAATTAAAAAATGCAAAATTTTGTGAGGCATATTTTTGGTCTAAAATAGACTAATGTTAAATTTAATGATCAAAGAAGTCTTGATCGGCATTTATGTCCGTCTCATTTATTAATTATTTAAGTAATTAATAGTTCCAAATAGGTGTCTTACGTGCATTAACGAGGACCACCAAGTACGCAATAGCCAGAACTACCAAGCTCAGGAATTTCATGTTGAAAAGTTGTTTTGTTTTTCTGAAAAAAGTTTAAAAAATTTTGGATAAGAAAATTGGGTAATTTTTTTTTAGCGTTATTATTATGCTTGTTAGCTTACCTTTCTGTTGGTCAGTAAGAGAAATTAATAATATCTTGACAACTGGATCGCCTTTTTTATACCCGAGCTCCAGTTGAACGAACAAGCCATTGGCAGCAGTCAGATTGCTCAATATTTAATCATCTTATTTAATTTTACGGTTAGATAAATTTTTATTTTATTAAATAAATAAATGTTGGATGATTAATTAGGTCCCTGATATTTATTTTTGGCAACTGAGTATACTCTGATAGGAATTTTGATATGCTCGTAAGAAAAAAAAAGTGGAAAAATTAAATTTATAATTAGGATTTATTAGTTTTAAAAATTGACCAAGTTTGACAATTTATAATAGAAAAAGGTTTAAACCTTTTAATTTAGCTCTTATATTTAATCTCTCACACTATAAATTTTTACTCTAATAAAATTACTAATTTTTCTTCTCTTTTTTTCCGTGCATTGAAATAAGAGTGAAGACAAGCATTATGAATATTTTATAATATATAAAGGAGATTTATTCAAAATTTTTAGGCAATGGATAAATTTGGATCATTCCGAGGTAATACGATCCTATAGTTGTAAAAATGACTCCAAGCTCATTAATTGTCTCCATATTTGTAGAAAAATAGCAGCTAGAAGATAAAATCATAAAAAATATAATTTAAATTGTATTTTTTATGACAATAATTATTTTTTTTATATAAACCTTTGCACCCATTGTGAATTTAGTTGGAAATTTTCATACGGATCCAAATATTTCGTTGTTGAATTATTTTTTACAACTACTACCGGATAATTTGTTCTGTAATTATCTTGAATATAGTTTTTCTTATCTGAACGATGGATTATAATAATTTGAACATCTGTATTATGTTTTAGGTGCATTAAAAATAGTCTAAAAAAAAATTTAACGTGAAAAATGATCAATAATTCTTATTGTCTGTAAGATTTTGCAATTACCTGTAATATTGAGGCCGCGCAACATTTATTTTAATACAACCTCCTCCATTGTAAGAATATTTATTAAAATATTGGATAGAATTTATCTGCTGGTCTGGTTTTTTCTCAATAATAATATTACTACCCTGAGTTTGAATTCTATGAAAGGGTGTTTCGAATTTATAAATCGGTACCTCTTCTTCCAGCAACTCTTCATCCTCCTCTCTGTCTTCTTTATCCTCTGGAATATTTACAAATGTAAATTGCAACTGGTAATTAGGTACTGAAATTTGCGGCTCTTGCAAAGCTAAATTATAAAAAGCCGAAGTGGTAGTCTCGTCATCTCCACTGTAAAAATACTTTTCTCCAAATCCGTGGCTGAAACTCGTTGAGAACACTTCATTGTCATAAATAGGCACGTGTATGTACATATACGGAGTCAATTGCGCCCAAAATATGTCTTCAAGCAATTCAAATGTCTGGCCTTTGAAATTTTCGTAGGTCCAACTTGAAGCGAATATTGCTACTGATAAATTATACTCGCGAATTATTTCAACAGCCTAAAATAAAATTTATAATTTTTTATTTCATCAATAATTAATTTTAATAAATTTAAATTACCTCTTTGGAATTAAATCCACCCCCGCCAGGACATCCGCGACCCCAAACATCAATTCCTACATAAATATCTAAAGCTCGATTTTCACGTTCTGCAATTGAACGACTCGAGAGTAATCCAGTGTCAGTCCAATTGTAATTTACAAAAATTCCATCGGCAAAATCAAAAAAATCTCTGCAAAAATAATTCGCGTTACAAATGCCATAAGGGCGTATCAGCCTATTATACGCCCTTATGGCACCCGGGGTACCTACCGGGAGCCAAAAGGGCGTAGCAAAAAATTTTTTTTTCGGGAAACAACGTATTTTTACTTGAAACGCATAGAAATGACGAAAAAAAATTTTTTTCAAATTTGAAATTTTTTGGTACGCCCTTATGGCACCCGGAGTACCTACCGGGAGCCATAAGGGTGTAGCAAAAAATTTTTTTTTCGGGAAACAACGTATTTTTACTTGAAACGCATAGAAATGACGAAAAAAAATTTTTTTCAAATTTGAAATATTTTGGTACGCCCTTATGGCGCCCAGGGTACCTACCGGGAGCCATAAGGGCGTACCAAAATTATTTTTTGCTTTTCTGCCCGTTTCAGGCATAACTACGTCGATTCCCGGAAAAAAAATTTTTATACGCCCTTATGGCTTTTCAAGGGTATTTTTTTCGAGATACGCCCTTATGGCATCAGTAACGCGAATTAGTAATTATTTACAAGTGGAGTCTACTCTATTTTTGGCCTTACCTAGGTAAAAAATTAACATTTTTTAATTTTTTTTTAAATTATGAATAAAAAATGTCGTGAAAAAAAAAAAAATAAAGATTTCAACAGCTTTTTTGCTTTCAGAAGGTGGAAAAAATTTTGGCTAATATATTTTTGGATAAAATTTATATTTTATCTTTTTTTGATGTTTTAGACATATTTATTTTTTTTTGAAAAACGATCAATTTAAAAAAAAAAAGTTGAATATAACAATTTTCTAAAAAATTTGTTAAAATTGTGGTAATCAACTTTTTCTTTTAAATTGTTAATTTTTGTTTGTATTTTTCAAAAAAAAATAAAATATATCAATAAAACGGCTGTCTAATTTCAAAACACAGTAACTGACAATTTTGAAATTTTTCTTGTTAAAAAAAAATTTGCGCGCCTAATTAATAAAAAATTTGATTTATGAATAAAAAATACTTGAATATAAATATTTTTAAGAAAAAATACTTGAAATTAAGGTCTAAAAGTTATAAAATATGCAGCAATACTAAAAAAAAAAAAATCAGGTATAACAATTTTGCAGTTACTGTGTTTTAAAATTGGGCAGCCAAAAATCAATTAGAAATTTCGTTAAAAAAAAATGAAAATTAAAATGGTGGAACCTTACTTGTTAATAATTACCAAAAATAAATTTTTGGCTTTCTAAATTATTTTAAAAAATCATCCTTACGAATTTTTGTCATTTAATTCATTCTGCCAAATTAAGCTGCCGTTATTAATGACACTGTCGTACCAAATAATCTCAGCGTCGTCAATCTCGCTGTGAATTCCATCAGTCAAGTACTGAACAAAGTACTTCAATTGATCGATATCATCAGGATTAATGTCATTCTCAATATTGAGAAGCCAGCCTTCAAAATTGAAGTGTTTGGCCAGCAAGATCAGAGCACCTGCGAATTTTTCAGTTTCTTCTATTGAGGACAAAATCTGGCTCCAAACTTCTTCGCCTTCAGTCCATTCGGTCATCACAGTACCGAGGACTTTGACTCCGTGCTTGTGAGCTGACTGGATCCAGCCATAAGGAGGAATTGTCACCAGATAGTGACTGAAGTATATGAATATGTCTATGATACTCCAGTGGTAAAATCCGTAAGAGTCACTTGCAGAAGAACCGTCGATAAATCTAAAAAATAAGAAAAAAAATTTTTAATTAAAAAATGCACGCCTTATACCGCTATTTAATTTTTGAGAAAATTAGTTTTAAAATTAGAAAGATAATTCACCTGTCTTCCAAATAACCACCTTTCAAATCATGACACACGATAGTCTTAGGCTGGTTGCTTCGATTGAACCTTGTTAAATTTTGGACATATTCTTCCTGGGAAATTTCTCTGCCACTATAGACATACTCTGCAGACTCTCGGAGCTTGAAAACCTCTGGCCAAATTTCTAGAGAGTCCAAACTGCTGTACAGCTCTTCTAAAGTTTGAAAAGGCCTGGCTACACGAGCTACAATTTTTTTTTCTCATATTGATACATGAAAGAATGTTTTCTTTCAAAAATTTAAATTTATTACTATTTTTAAATTAATATTTTATAGATAGTTACTAATAATTTCAAGAATTCTCAGTTTGTTTTTTAATTAATTATAATTATCCAAAATTAACATAGATGTCGTACGAGACGATTAATTAATACCTTACGTGCATTAATGATGACAGCAAAAAACGTGACAGTTAATACCAAGCCTAGGAATTTCATGGTAATTCTATTTCGCTGAAAATATTTGAAATTCAGTTAAAAAAAAAAAATTGGGGATTAAAATTGATTACTTTTTATTTTTATCGATACTGATAAAAATTCAGCCATTTTTTATCATTATTATTATGAATATTAGCTTACCTTAGTCAGTAAATTAAATTGAAAATATCTTGATATTTGAGTCATTTTTTTTCATTTTAACTTCAGTTGAACAAACAAGTCAGAGACAGCAGTAAGATTGGTCAATATTATCTACATTATATTCTTATGATTCGATAAATTTTTTCTTTACTTACTTTATTTTTACTTACTTAATCTTTACTTACTCGAAAAATTTCTAGACATGATTGCTTAATAATTATTAAAAGCCGTTGTTGTATATTAATATTGCTTAATTTGCACTGGGAATCAACCGAAAAAATTTCGCAATTGATATAATAAATATTAATTCTTCAATTGACGTAAAAGGTGTTTTCGCAATTGCAAAATTAAATATGTATTTAAACATTTTACATTACTTTTTTTTTTTTTATATATTCGCACGAATGTGTGTATTTTTATTTTTGAATTTATAGATTATTTTTGAAGTTATACTACTTTAGGCGCGTTATGAAAAAATGATTTTCAAAAATAATAATTTTATGAATTAAAATATTTGAACTAAAATATAAATATTGTAGTACCTATTATATTTCGGTATATAGCTATCTTTTTATTGAGTTCACAATTTTTTAATACAGACTTAATCAATAAATATTAATTAAAAAGATATTATCACTAGGTTAAATAATAAATAATGAACTATTTTTTAAGAAACATATATTTTAAATAAATAATTAATGATATTAAAGTTAGCCGACGTGATTTTTTGATTTTATTTTTAATAATTAAATTAGAAAAAAAAAAATATTTTTAAAAAATTGCACTTACAGTTTTTCAAGTTTTTTAAAAGTGAAATTTTTTTTTTAATCATTTTTTCAATAAAAAAAAATTCTAAAAATTTTTATATGTCAGCTAACTTAATTTTCATCATAATTAAAATATTTTATAATTATCGAATTAATAAATATTAAATTAAATTCATATGATAATTAATGATTTTATATTTATACGGTATAGCTAAATTTTTAGTATAATAAAACCTATTTGATTGTTATTAACATTTTTCTTTGATTTTTTTTCCATTTTTTTTTTCTTTTTTCTTTAAAAAATCTGTTTTACACACACAATTTTTTTTATTTTTAATTACGGTGTCGTCAACTAAAAAATTTTACAGTTTTTTAGGTACAAAATAAATCTAACGGTAATTTTTAAAGAAAATTTCTTTCCGTGTATAAATCCATTAATATAGCGAACAATTATAAATAACTTTAGGCTATAAACAATTTGTTGGTATCAGGTGTAGGATACCAACAAACTTATAAGCCAGATTTCTAAGTAAGGACTAACCCTATACTATGGTAATTAGCTCCATTACCACCCCATGATATTCCGATATTTTGTCGAACTTATTGAGCCTTTGCTTAACAAAATGCGTTTCCAATATCAGGCTTAGAAAAGGATTCCCTCCTTGTGTACAACAAAACAGATTACATTTTACAAAAAACGTGTATATGACGTCATGAATGTCGGAAGTACTCGAGCGAGAGGTTTTTATAGGTGGAAATTCATGGGACATATTAATGCCGTACTGGGGATAATATACCAGCGAGGATGTTCGATTCATATATTCATACGAGAGGTGTTCTGAAGAGAACATCCACTTGAATAGGGTTGCGATTGCTACCGGTCGCGACCCCCTGCATACATCACCGGCAGGACTCGGTTTATACACTCTAGGCTAGACATATACCATGTGTAAATACATCTAGGTAGAGGTGTGTATGTCACTTTGTCACTGATGTTTACACGCGGGGAAAAAGGAGTGAAACAGTCGAATAGTGGAGCTGTGATGAAATGGCCCCTAGTTGGGTCACCTGGAAAGCAAAAGCATCCACCTCTGACTGATTGCCCAGTCACTTGGGACACGTTTACTCTTACTATTCTAGGATCTCATTTCTCAACTATAACATTACGTATATTTTAGTCTGAGTACCTTTATCTCTTGTTCTGGGCCTAGGATTACGGAAAAAGGAGATATGTGGAGTTTTATTGGGGGTAGAGGGGATTAAAGGGGGGAATATGAAGGACATATGGAATTTAATTTCATATGATCATTTAAAAATGTTTGGTTTATCGAAATTTGTATGCTTTAAGCATTTACGTGATAAGTAAATTTATAAGATTAAATATATAACATGTTATCATTAATATTTTTTTTTTTTTTTCAATAAAAAGATGATGACCTGAATTTATTTAAATAAACTTCTTAAGAATTAACAGTTTTTATTTGGAAATATAAAATTATTTAAAATAATTTTTACATGTAAATTTAAGAGTTTTTTTATGTTGTAAATATAACATTATTTCAAATGTAAATTTTACACATTTTTCCATGTAAATTTAACAGTTTTTTCTTTGTAAATATGGCACCACATAAAAATGTGATTTTTACAAATTTTTACATGTAAATTTAACAGTTTTTACTTTGTAAATATGACACCACATAAAAATGCAAATTTTTACATGTAAATTCAAGAGTTTTCTTATTTTGTTAATAAAACATTATTTAAAAATGTAAATTTTATATACTTTTACATGTAAATTTAAGTTTTTCTTTGTAAATATAACATTACATAAAAAAGTAAATTTTAAATGTAAATTTAATAATTTTTATTTGTAAATATGGCATCACATAAAAATATAAATTTTACACCTTTTTACATGTAAATTTAATAATTTTTCTTTATAAATAAAAAATTATTTGAAAATGTAAATTTCACACCTTTTTACATGTAAATTTAATGATTTTTCTATGTGAATATAACCCTACATAAAAATGTAAACTTTACACATTTTTACATGTAAACTTTACAGATTTTTACATGTAAATTTTATACATTTTTTCACGTAAATCCATCAGTTTTTCTTTGTAAATATAAAATTATTTAAAAATGTGAATATTAATAATTTTTACATGTAAATTCAACAATTTTCGTTGGTAAATATGGCATCACCTAAAAATGTAAATTTGGCACATTTTTACATGTAAATTTAACAGTTTTTCTTCGTAAATGTTACGTTATATAAAAAAGTAAATTTTACACATTTTTACATGTAAATTTAACAATTTTTTTTTTTGTAAATATAACATTATTTAAAAAAAGTCAATTTTATTCATTTTTACATCTAAGTTTAACAATTTTCTTTTTTTTAAATAATACTTTACATAAAAATGTAAACTTTACACATTTTTACATGTAAATTTAACATTTACATGTAATTTTGACAAATAATATTTTTCTGTGTAGAATGCAAACATTTATTAACTATTTATTCCTTTTATTCTTACTAATTACATAAAATAATTTTTTTTTCCATTTTATTTTATAAATTAGCACTAAAATTTTTTATTAAAAATTGAATCCGCGTTACGAGGCGTGTAATTTGAATTTTCTAAGCTTTTTTGTTTATTTTGTCTTCTTTACCAGATATCGAGAATATTTTTTTTCTATTATTACTTATTTTGTATTTTAATAGACTTTTATTAGCCTTTATTACAGTTCAGGTATATTTAGTAAAGGCGTGAGAAACATTACCGTGGCTTGTGGTTTTTCGCTTTTAATTAAAAACCAATTTTCACCAGCCATACACAGACAGCAGAACCGGGAAGTGGAGTTTTGGTTACTTAATTGAAAGGTTGCTCAATATTGCCCAGGATATTGTACACAATTGCCCTCCGATCTGCATGTAGCTTTTCTTCGGAAAAACCGCAAAATAATCTCGTTTATTCCCGAAAAATAAAAATCTAAATAATTTATCGAATAAAGTAAATAAATTACGGGGAATCCGCGAGTTTGCTTTTTTTTTTTTCTTTTCTTACTAAGCTGAGGGCTCAGGAGCGAACAAGCCGAGCTGTTAAAATAGCTCGTCAAGCCTGTGCCACTGGAAATAAAAAGAAAGTGGGTAGAGTGGAGAGGGTTTATTAGCGCTCTCTAAAAATTCTTTTCATCGAGCGACGGGACATGCCGTCTCCTCCCACACCGTTTACATAAGCGAGTTCTCCGGATTGCCTTTTTGATATGTAGATAAGGTCGGGGTGGTAAACCTTGTGCTTTTACGCCGTTTACTACCATCGCTGTCCTTTGACTCTTCTCACTCAAACTCTTTTAACATTCTCGTACCTCAAGGCTTTATTTTACAAAGCTTGTCAATATTTTTTTTTGATAGCTAAAATATTTGCTTTTGATTTTTTTTATTAAGAAATAATAATAACGATAATCTAGGCTCTATCTCTAGATACATAATTGAGAAATGACCTAGTATCTTGGGATTTATTGACATTTTTAAAGATATAAGCTCATCTTGATGTTACACTCATCGAGACCTTTCATTTGAGTACCCACATCAATTTTTCATATATTTTATATATTTATATATATATATATTATATATATGTATATATGAAAAATATATCAAAAATGCCATGTGGGTACTTAAATGAAAGGTCTCGATGAGTGTAACATCGAAATAAGTTTATATCTTAAAAAATGTCAATAATTAAGAAATGACCTTGTATTCTTGTGAACTATTGATATTTTTAAACATATAAGCTCATCCCGATGTTACACCCATCAAGACCTTTCATTTGAATACTCACATCAATTTTTCATATATTTATATATTTTATATATATTATATATATGTATATATGAAAAATATATCAAAAATGCATGTGGGTACTTAAATGAAAGCTCTTGATGAGTGTAACATCAGGATGAGCTTATATTTTGAAAATATATATGTATATATAAAAAATATATCAAAAATGCATGTGGGTACTCAAATGAAAGCTCTTGATGAGTGTAACATCAAGATGAGCTTATATCTTCAAAAACGTCAATTTTTAAGAATGTACAGTGCAATTTAACAAAATTCATTATTTAATAAAGCAAAATTTTATTTATTCATAATAATAATTTTAATAAATAGAATAAAATAAAAATAGTATTATAGAAATAAATGCTGACCTTTAGTGTCTTTTAGGAACGCGAAACTCAGTCTAACAACTTGGAACTTTCTTAACG